TGTCTACCCCGGAGTCCTGTGTGTGTTCAGTGTACAAAACCTTTTTGCGCATTACTTAGACCCCCAACAAAGCTGAAGTCAGCGCGACGGCCCTGGAGCGCCACCCTGTGGCGCTCTGTCATAACGCACAGATGTGGCGCGGGCCGGGGACCTCTGAGGGCTGCTTAGGGCCAGGGCTTGAGGTCCTCTGAGAGCCACACTGCCCGCAGCTGTGCGGCCGCCCACGCCGCGCTCTGGTCCAAACACGGCACGCAGTCGGGGGCCAAGGGCAAACAGGAGCGCAGGGACTGTGCCCAATGATTTGGGGTGGCAGCCGAGCCCCCGAGCTCAGCCTGTCCCCCACACGCAGGGATGGAGCCGATCAGGCAGGACGATTTGCCACCTCTCCCGAGGGCAGCGAGGCATCACCTTGTGGCAGGGCCAGACACTGAGAGTCCACCAGGGCCAGCGAGATGGCGCAGAGGAGGGGCAGCTGGGACTGGCAGGGGCTGCCCGGGCTGCAGGTGGCCAGGAGGGGCGCTCTCCCAGGGGTTCTGGGAGGAGCAACAGAGTTATCTTGTTAAGCACAGGTGTCCTGTAAGCCACAGGCGCTGCATGTCTGTGGCAGGGGAGTCCGGCCACGGGCACAGCGCTGGCCGCTGCACCTGACATCCGGGGCACTGGCAGCGGCTCACACTCGCCTTTTGCTTGAAAGCATCACAGGAATCCAAAGCACGCTCGCCCAAGGGTTTCATTTCTCAGCTTTTAGAGAGCTTCAGCTAGGAACATTTCAGTACCACATCTAGCTGACCAAGACCACCGCCAAAGGACCCGCCACGCCTAAGGCCACGTGGGGCCGCAGGAGCAGCTGCCACACCGGTGTTAGAAACAGCGCCAAGGAGAAGCTGGGACCCCACTGGGCACAGACCCAGGTTCCTGCCCCTGAAGGGTGCTACCTGAGGCTGGCTGGATCTGGGGGTCTGCAAGCTGGGTGTGCAGGGTGACTGAGGCAGGATACCGAGGAGGAGGCTGGGAAGGAAGAGGCTGGACAGGAGGTGCAGCGTGGCTGGGGACAGAGGGAGGGGCTCAGAGCTGCGGACAGAGCAGGCCGGCATGTGGCTCCCGGGCCTCACCTCCACCTCGTCCACCTGTGCCCGACACCACTGCACAATCAGGAGTCCACCAAAGTGAGCAAGCGCATCCCCGTGTGCGCAGCCCAGGCCGCAGAGAGCCCTGGCCCCGGCCCAGTCCTGGCCCAGTCCCGGCCCAGGCCTCTGCTCACCCTGGCCCCAACCCCAACCCACCCCAGCTGAGCGCAGCCCAGAGCGCCCTTTCCCTGTGCCCGTTCCTTGCTGTCCTCTCCCCCAGACCCAAGCCTCTTTGCATGTTTCAGCCGGGCAGCAGGGCCAGAAGCTCTGGAGCTGTCTGTCTTTCTGGCTGTTATACTTGGAGGGGGTGGAGAGGAGAGGAGAGGTTGGGGGAAGGGGAGGTGGGGAGCAGGCAGGTCAGGAGGGGGCAGGGCGTGCCTCCGGACCCCTCGCTTGAGCAGGATGCTGCATGCAGGGATGGCTGTCTGCCTCGGTCTTACCTGGAGCCCCTCCACCTCTGCCCCTCCCCGGGTGCCAGGCTGTGCCTTCCTGACCCTCCTCCTCCACCCCTGCGGTTGGGCCTTGGGTCGCATCCCCTCAGCCTGACCCTGAAATCTTGGGGCACAGTGTGGCATTCCCATAAACAGGCCATGGTGACGCAGTGGGCCAGAGCCCTCCTGTCCCCCACTCCAGCCTGGCCACCACCCCTAAAGGCAGAGGCACAGTGGGGGCCAGGGAAGGTACAGCCACCGCGCTGCATGGCCCCACAGCGGGACGGTGCACTGTGGCCATTGTGAGATCCCCGACAGCTCCGCTCTGCTCGCAGATCCCCACGGCCCTGAAAACCACTTCAGTCTGGCGGGGGGGGGGGGGCTCAGGGCCAAGCAGACCCCAGGTCCCACCCAGCCTGCAGCCCCAAG